ATTGGAGTTATAGATAGTTATAAAAATCTAAATCTATTGAGATCGTTTTTAGTCGTTATATACCTTCGAACATCCCCCCCCCCCCCCCCCCCCCCCGCGCCGCCCGGCCGGCAAAACCCGGCTTATCGCTCCTCCGTCCCGGCGTTGTAGGGATGCGAGCTCTATGGCCTAATGACTACGGCATGCGTTTACATTAGCCCGCCTCCGCCCCCCAGGTGCACGCGCATCGTGGCGGGCCTCCTCACGGGCGACCGGGCGGCCGGCGGCGCCCTCCCCGGCGCGGACGACTTCCTCCCCGCGCTGATTCTGCTCGTCAAGCGGGCCAACCCGCCAGGCTTGCACAGCACCCTGGAGTTTGTGCAGGTGCGGCGTGGGGCAGGGGACGGAAAAACGACGCACGGTAGCAGCAGCACACGTTCGACCGCCTGCTGTCTCGCGATTAAGACGAACGGAAAGAGCCTGCCTGGTGTCGTTGTGTTGGGTTGTTGAGTCCCCGAGTTCGAGGTGTTGCGCTGGATGGGTGTGGATGGATTGACCGGTGAGGTGTGGATGGATTGACCGGTGAGGTGTGGTTTTAGGGACGTTTTTTTCGTATTGTTTAGGTACTGCCTCGTGCAGCATGTGTGGCTCCCCCCCTCCCCGTCACCCGCGGGAGTGTGTTGCGCTCTTCTTTGTTTACTTGTTGGCCAATCAAATCACCGCTTTATTTGCCACCAATCTCCTTCCCTCGTGCAGAGCTTCCGCGACCCGTCCAAGCTTCTATCCGAGGCGGGCTACGTGCTGACGCAGCTCGTCAGCGCCGTTTGTTTTCTCGAAGAGGTACGTCGGTCGGTCGGTCGGTCGGTCGGTTGATGGGTTTAACCAAGAAACAAGGGGGGGGGGCGTCGGGGGTAGCTCGATGTTGCCGAGCCACCCGTCGCATGTTGAGTTGACCTTGCATCCGTGTGGAGGAGAGGGAGCCCCTTCCTCCAAGCTTGTTGTGTACCGCTACGGGTTCGGGGACGTGTCACCCCTGTCACGATTTTTTTGTATCAAGTGGTCCGAAACGCTGACGGTACACGCCGCCAGTGCTGTCGACCATCTCACGGCCGGTCGACGACACGAGCAGAGCATTCTAGTCGCCCTCCTCCGTTTGTTTTTAGCCCTGTGTACATGCCGTACATGTTGGAGAGATGGCGCCCCCATGTTAGTTTTTTTTATCAGCGTATTTCTTCACAACCAACGGTGGGTACCACTGCCGAAAAGGGTAGTGTTGGAAACATCTCGTCGAGGACTTTCCTGATAGGTATCATCGGTTGGTGTTTGCGCCCTCCTACCTTTGGAGAAATACGCTGTCAGAAAACGTTAACACGGGGGTGCCATCTCTCCGACCCTCACCGTACGACTGCAAGCATTGGTTGTTGTCTGGCGGACCATTGCTGGTCGAAAACCACGTGCGAACCAACAGAAGTTGTCTGCACACAACGACCCGGGTGAGGGTCTTGTGCCTACACATGATCTGCACACATCTGCGGGGTGAAAGTGTTGTGCACGTACTATGTCTGCACGCATGTAACAGGGGAACACGTCGTGCTACATCTTCGAAAACAGTTGCACATAGCCAGTTTGACAGTCGTACCGGATGCAACAAGAGCCAGTGCAACCGAATATTTCGCGATATTAAATGTGCACGCTGGCAGGTGGACGCCTCGGTGCTGAGCATCGCGCACGGGGATTTCGAGCGAGGCTTGATCCAGGGCTTCCAGGAAAGCGCCAGGGTTGGCCTGCAGGCGCACCAGCAAGAGGTGTGTGTGCGTATGGTGTGTCTTTTATTAATGGCATCGAACGCGCTAACCGACTGACCGAATGAAAAGGCGTCAGTCAAAGTGCGGCTGAAAACAGAAAGCGTTTTTTTATGTGTGTGTGTGCGTGCGTTTTTGTTTTGTTTCGACATGCCGTTTTGCCGTCGCGTTTCGCGCTACCCTACGCACATCCAATAAGACTTCATGTTGTCAGTGTCCATGCGCGTGGCACATCATGCTCGCCGTGTTCGCATGGCTCAATCACGTCCCTCTGCGCCGACTGCCTTCACGTCACAAGTGATGCTACTTAAGAGGGAAGTATCACCTCGGTCTTTCCGCACGGTGACTTTGTGGTTTCGACGTTTGGGGGGCAACCTTCCTTTTTCGCCGTGTGGAACCAAGCGGCGAATCTCTCCGTCTATCTCTCGTGTGTGTTCGTATTCCCTTTGCTCGTAGGTGCAGGGTAGGCACGGGCTGTCCGTACGATGCCACACCCTGCAGGCAGACTGCTTGGCGATCGACGTGTGTTTGTTGTTGAGTTTCGCCTGCTGAGTGGAACATATTGTTTTGTATTTCTGTGGCCCTTTTGGGCGTGAGGCGGCAAGCGGTACGAAGAAAATGGCGCACACGGTATCCAATTTCATGGTTTCTCATCTCCAAACATGCTCCAAGAGTTAACTAAGGAGACAGGGATGGTGAACGAGTGCGTTCCTTAGATCACGTTTTTGATGGCCTGCCCCACCCGTCCCATCCACGCCTGCCTGGCGTCAAAATTCCCGAAAAATAGACGCAAAAGCGACGCCCCATAAGTGTCGCCATATGTTCATGAGTGAGGCAGTGAATTACTCTCCGTTTGGCATATATAGCATTAAACCCTCCGTTAATTCGGTGCCTTGTGTCTGCCACGGCAAACGTGCAAAAAAAATCCCCAGGTCAAGAAGGAAGAGGAGCACGCGCGCCTGCTTCATAGCAACTCCCAGGGCCGCGCCAACGGCCCTATTCCCGGGTCAGCGACAACTTCGGCTTCGTTGTCACCGCCGCCATCTGGCGATCACGCTTCTGCGGGCACGGCTGCTGCGGTCGGGGGGGGTGGAGGAGGGGAGGCTAGTGCTGGCAGCCCCGGACCTGCTTCTTTGCCACAGGTTGGTAGCCGCTGTTTTGCTTGGTCTTGTGGGTGCTGTAGTTGGGTGTGCTTGGTCGTGTGGGCTGCTGTGGTTGGCTTTGCTTGGTCGTTGCGGGAAGATTGGTGTTCCCCTCGCGTCTCGTTCGCCCCCTCCCGTAAATTTAGGCTTGAAATCATTGTGGTGTGGTGCAAAACCTACGAAACAAATTCACCTATTAGCATCGTTGTTCAGAACCTTTCGACCAACGTGCCCGTCCTATCGGATCGAATCGAGATCCAGACCGGCTCCGAGGGTTAGCGACAAGGGTTCGGATGCAGCCATGCTAGTGCTGGCCCCATGAGCGTAGATGGACGTGGCGGACTTGATAGGACTGGAATAGGGAAAACGAGTGATAGCATACCCGAAGAGCGCGGATGTGGTGACATGTACGGCAAAGGCGATGTGCACAGCAGCCAGTTCATTGCAGGCGGCCCTTGAGATGACGTGGTCGTCGAGGCAAAAATGCGCCTTGTGTGCACACACTTTTCCACGTGGCCTTGCCCGATTTGTGGTCATCGGTTCTCTCCTATTCTAAATACCTCCACCCGCCCTTGTCGAATTCCTTAACTTGGCGAGATGCAGCCGGAGCCGCCCCGAACAATCGGGACGGCCGAGGTGCGTACCCGGCGCCAAGCTGCAGCAGCGGCGGCAGGAGCGGCGACAACGTCGTTGCCCTTCAGCAGCACGGCTGTATCCGCCGCGTCACTAGCAGCAGGAGGAAGTGGAGGGACGTCGGGCACTGGGTCTTCTACTCGCGAGCGGCACCCTTCTGGTCGAAGCCGACAACGGCAGCAGAGGAATGGTGGCAGCAAGCAGCAGCCGGCGGTGCTGCAGCAGCTCCGGTTCGTCGGGTGCACGGCGGCGGAGCTGCGGATGTCGGAGGTGCCCGCCCTCCTGGCCGAACACGACCAGCTCGCTCGGCTGTGCGAGAGGCTCCTTGCGGAGCGGGAGGAGATGACTACGCCACACCGCCGCCGGTAGTACGCCAGGGTAGTACGCGATATCTCTATCTCGTGTCAAGTCTATCGAGCTCTGTAGCTTGATGTGTTACTTCGACAACGTGCTACCTACAGTCAGTCTTTTTGCTGAGGAAGCACGATCGGATTTTGGTCGCAGGGTGGTGGGAGCTTGAGCTCACTAACCATGGGCATGAGCGATGTCCGTGTCATTCGTCGAGAGATTCCTGTCTCTACATGAGAAACAGGTTGCGTACGTTATCTTCGATCAGAAAAACAATGAAAGGAATTTGTTTCCAGTCCGGACGGATGAAATGGATGCCGAAGCACGGTTGTATAGGCGAGGCTTTGTGTGTAATGAGTTTGTGAGATGTTCGAGGTGCAGAGGAAACTTGCTCTGCGATTTTGGTAGGCCAGGGCATGCATAGCGCATGCGTGAGGCAAAAAGCTTCAGCGACACGACAAGTCTCCACACACGTTACCTTTCTTCCGGTGCTGGTCTGGTGTAAACGAGCGGAACGCGGGGAAAGCCTGGGCAACGTCGACTAGATTCTGACCGTACTTGGCCAAGTATGTGACCGGCTGCACTGATGTGCCGACCTTGAATATGCGAAGAAACTGCTTCTTGCTTGACATTTCGGCCTCGGTGCTGCTTCTTGACGGTAAAAGAACATAACGGAACGGGCTCCGGACGGACACCCGGACGGACATTCACAACCGAGTTCCACACATACGTGTTGTGCGAGATGGGGTAAATGATGAAGTATACAGCGAAGATATGCTAGGAGCGGTTCATGTTGATGTCCGTGTTCAAGGTTGGGAGCTCGTGTGCGGAAAACCATGACGAACCCAACTCTGTCCGACCGGACATCAATGACCGCCGCCGCCCATTGCTGTCGGTGTCCGACCGCTTGTTTCGATCAACTCCGTATCAACGCCGTGATGCATGGAGAGAGATATTCGATGCTTTGCGTTGAGGTCTTTGCCGTCGTCGCCGGAATCTGCCACGTGGTCTCTGCAATTTTTACTGTTGCCATGAATTAGACTAAAAGCCACCAAGCGCAGGCCAAACGCCACTTGCTCGCTCTGTCGCCGTCCCTGCACCTGCTGCCCAAAAAAGGGGCGAAGTTGTCAACACACGTTGAACATGCGTCGGCCCGAAGAACAATAAAAAAAAACGTTTCGGGCACAGAAGGACAATCGCCGACAAGAGGCAAGAGCACAGCTCCCAACGACCACCGAGACCATCATTGCAACCAATACCACAAAGGGACAGGAAGAAAGACGCATATGTCTTCAACATACACACAAAAAAAAATGCCTGTTTCGACGCTTGTCATCTTCTCCTATCTTCATTGAACAAGCCCCGACAAATATCGGACTGACCTGGACACCTCTGGATACATGTGCGGCCTGCCATCGTCACATCATCCGGCAAGGCTCCAGAATCACTCTATTCACACCCTTGCACAAGCGACGCGATGCGTTTTCCCTCGCTGTTTCGTCACAACAAAACAGCATCAAAGAAGACAGTGGGGGCCGCAGGATACGGTACGATCGCCATTCCTATGAGTGCTGAACCCATCGCACAGCAACGACGTTCGTTTTGTCGCCAGAGGATGAATGAAGTGTGTTAGACACAGAGACGCGAGAACACACACACACAAACAAACAAACAAGCATCCAGTAGATCCTTTTCTACGTGAGCTCTTTTTCTCACTGAACAAATCCTGGTCTAAGCTGGAAGTGACGCGCTGCAAAGCTCGTTGTTAGCAAACTAGATCGACTTCATAAGTTGCGAGGGAAGGGATTGCTGTACCCTTCTCGCGATAAAAATATCGCAGGCAGGAACCGCAGGAGGGGTCCAACCCCCCCCTCCTGTTTGACCCCGGTTGGGTCGTCTAGCTAGTAGAAGTGGAGGATGGGGGCCAGAGGGGCAGACGACAGAGTCCAATGATGGGAGAACAAAACAAAACCAAACAACAACAACAACAACAACAACAACAACAACAACAACAACATCGACGCATGCATGTCGGAGAAGAGCGCATTCTCTTCCCACAATTATCAGAGTGCTCAATCAACGAACAACACACGGCACCTTAGCTGGCGAATTTTCCAGAGAAACGAACCGTGCACAACAAGCACATGACCGCGGTCTTAGACAAACAAAGGGTAAACAACAACGTAGCCTCTTCGATTGTGGTCGTTGAGGAATGCAATAGCTCTCCAGGAGAAAAGGCGAGACCGCAATGAAAAGGTATATTTCATAAAGTGTGCGAAACTAAGTGAACCATTCGCAAACGGTGTAAACTCTAGCAGTGCTGCATTGCAATGCAACAGATCTACAGAAGAAAAGGCGAGACCGTACTATAACGCGACGAGCCAATATCTTTCGTAGGGCGTGCAAAAACCAGCGAACCGCACAAACGGTGTAACCTCTAGCAGTGCTGCATTGGCGTGCAAATGCAACAGCTCTACAGAAGAAACGGTAAGGACGGCAATAAAAATTACGAGCCAATCGTAGAGCGTGCAATAACCAGTGAACCACACATAAAAGGTTTAAAGACTAGCAGCACTGCATCGGAATGCAACAGCTCTACGAGAGAAAGGCGAGACCGCACTAAAACGCGACGAGCCAATACCTTTCGTAGGGCGTGCAAAAACAGCGAACCACACACAAACGGTCTAGCAGTACTACATTGGATGCAACAGCTCTAGGAGAAAAAAGAAAAAAGTACTGCACCGGCATGCAACAGCTCTAGGGGAGAAAAGGCGAGACCGTACTAAAACGTGACGAGCCAATACCTTTCGTAGGGCGTGCAAAACCAGCGAATCACACACAAACGGTGTAAACTCTAGCAGTACTGCATTGTCATGCAACAGCTGTAGGAGAGAAAGGCGAGACCGTACAATACAATTACGAGACGAGCCAATCTTTCGTAGAGCGTGCAAAACCCAGTGAACTATGCACGAACAACACCGTCATACCGCACCAAGCCCTTGCTTTCACTTCATTTACTGCAGCATCCAAAGGCGCAGCAGGGACTGAACAGTTCGGTCCCTGAAGTAACGCTTGAGTGCAAAATCAACAAATTAATTACACAGACCGCCTCCTTCACTCGTTCATTCACCCCGTAGGTCAATCGACGACAAAATACACCAAGACTGGCAAAGGGGGCACGGTTTGCATATTTTTCAACGCAAGATATGGCAATCAGGGGAGCAGCGGAAAGAGCAACAACGGCCCTGCTTCCACCAACATGCTGAGTCCGAAGTACAAGAATGAAGCAACGAGCTATGCTACAGGCACAGCTACTTGCTTGGTTGAGGGCGCTAATAACGAAGGAACGCGGCGCGTGATGCACGCTAGCCAAAAAGAAAGAACGGCATCCTGCCTCGACTACCCGTGGAAGGCATCATCTGCAGCAAGTGCAGCGACAGACCAATGTGGGACGGACATGGTCCGGCCACCGCACCCCCCGGAGGGTGCTAATCAGAAAACCGAAACCAAATAAATGAATTCTCGCCGCAAGCTGGTCGGCTGAAGTTGTGGGTGGTACTACGCGCCGGTGCAGATACCCTCCATGCCCTCCCCCATCCACCCCACCCCCAGAGTTGCCGCACGACCCTTTCGAGGCGTCGCCGGTCTTACTTGCCGCTCGGGTGCGGTTGCGGTGGCGGTGGCATCCTTCCTCCCTTGCCCAGCCCCCTCCGGCCCGGCTGTTTCCGTTTCCCCAAAGTCTGCCCCTCCTCCTTCGTCTCCTCGTGCCCGCCCACGAGCGCCGAGCCATGGAAGGGGGCCGCTACCGGAGGGTCCACGTCGTGCTGCTGCTTGCCCTCGCTTGCTTCCCTCGCCAGGGCCGTGATCGCCTGCCGCAAGCGAGCCTCGGCCTGGGCCTGGAACGACGCAGCCGCGGCCCGCTCGGCGGCAAGACCGGCCTTCAGGTCGGCGGCGTACTTGCGCTTCAGCGCCTCCGCCTGCTCCGCAAATCCCCTTTTCAACTCCGCCTTCTGCTTCTTCAGCGTTTCCTTCATCTTCCGCTCCGGAGCGCGAGAATGGTCGCTGAATCCCCGGTTGAAGATTGCGTGCACAGAGGCGAGGTCGGCAAGGTTCTCCCCCTTCATCCGCGTCTCTGCACACGCCAAGTCTGCGCGGAACATCCGCGCCCACTCGGGTACCGACTGGTCGTCGACGGATGGGGCTGGCGGCTTTGCTTTGCCGCCGTCAGCCGCCCCCTCGTCGCCACCACCTCCGAGAGAGCGCCAGCAGAACTTTGATGCCCGAACGACGACATCGAGCAGCAGAACACCAACCAGCAGATCGCAGGCTGAAAGCCAGGCGAGGTCGAAGTGCGACGGGGAAATAGCCGCCATGCTCCCGAAGCATCTGTGGAATAACCGGTCATCCGTTGGAAGACGAGGGCAAAGGGAGCGGAACAACGAGTGCGGGTGGGATGAAGAATAAGGAGCCCTCGCTCGGTTGCACGCTGCAAATGAGGATACCGGAATCCCGGGCGGGGTGAGCATCGCCACGGTCGTAGCATTACTACCGAAAACGTTTCGCGATCATCGTATCATCAACACGTGCACGGACCATCCTGTGATATCACACGGAAGGTCGTGGTTCTACAAGACACAACGCCTACAGTAGATACGCTAAATTTTGCTCATGCCGTTCTTCTCTTGGAACGTGCATCAAATAAATTTCATGTGGAGCACGTTACCAAGCGTTCGGTCTCATTCATTCTGGGCACCAGTCTGCACCTCTCCGTAAATGATTTACCCACCAGCCGTGGACACACACAAACACGATGCAGCAGACACGACAACAAGATGGAATGCTGGAAATAGCAGCAGCAGCAGCAGCTGCAGCAGCAAAAGCGTTGCAATTCAACATGAAACCTTAACTTGAGTTCTTGACACGATTAGTTTGTCAACAAGCAAGGCTAGCAGTGGATACTCTCGTTAAATTCACGAAAAGAAACGAGGGTGCGGGCAAGACCACGCAGGAACACTGGCATGGTCATCGTCCAGTAGTAAAGACAAGTGTAGCTGGGCGCAAGCGGTACGTAGGAGGGCAAGAGCAGCACCCTTGGGAAAGGAAGACCGGGCTCGTGTACTGAGGAAGAAAGTTCAGGGCGACCCTGCTTCTAGCTGAGGGACTGGCCGTGACTATCGCTGAAGACGTAGAACTACCGGAGAAGCAGCAAGCGGACGATCACCACCGTGACCGACCACCGATAGCACACACCTTGACAGCATCGCCGACACGTTGATCGCCGAGAGGCGCTGGCCGACGGTCGTCACATAGCCTCCAACATGCTCGAGCACAGGACGCGCCAGCGCTCCAACGCTTGACATCACTCTCTTTGCCCAGGCGAAGGTGTACACGGTGGGGGGGTCGCTCTGGAATTCGAACGGGAAGGCGTTCGGGCCGCGACCGGAGGGAAGCGGGCGGCAGGCGGGGGGGGATACTGTGGTTTGAAGCTGAACGTAGCGGTGTTAAAAAAGGGACAAAAAACACACGCCCCCTCATGCCTACACCCCTCACACGAACAACAACAATTTGATGCCGCTCGGCAAGTACTACTTGTACGCGCCCGAGAAACAACATCTTCTTGGCTTGCTATGAGCATCAACCCTCGACGGTGGAATGTTCAAACAGCAGCAGCAGCAGCAGCAGCAGCGGCATCACTGGTAGAGGGAGTCACTGCTATACTGCCAACCATGACGTCGCCATAGCAGCTACCTCCGCACGGTTCCCCGCGTTCTGTTTCTTTTCGCACGCGACAGGCGTCATCTACAGAGGGCGGTACTCACGTGGTCATCATCATCATCATCATCATCGGGGTCGATGGCGTGGCACACCATGGTCCCCTCCCACTCGAGGAAGAGGCGCTGGAGGTCTGCGGTCTGCCGCAGCAATTCAAGCCCAGCGTGACTCGCTTCGGCCAGCACGAGACGCTCGTGAATGTGGCGAAGATCGAGGGGCGCCACGGTGGGCAACGTGGCGAGCACACATGCGCCGGCCTCATCGCAGGTAAGGGCCGCGAACGTCTCGTCGTCGGTCTTGCTGGCTCTCTGCGACATGCGAGGGGGAAGCAACGTGGAGGTCAGCCGTGGAAAACGCTTGGGCGAGGTAAGGTTGACCAAGGCCATGACTGCGCTTCACCGTCGAACAACATTGAAGTTGCTTGGTTTGGTTCCCCGCCCCCGCCTTCTTCCCCCGTGGGAAGCATGGTTGGTCCCACCGGCCTCACAATAATCGAAAGAAGGTACAGTATGCATAGTGGCAGGCCATATCTAGCAGTTCTTAGGGGCTCGGGTGTCCTACGACAACAATACAGGCGGGCAACAACTGCTCAACGCGCGTAGCCCCAAATGAACTCGACAGCAGCCTGCAACTCATCATGCTAAAGATAAGACAGAAAAAAAGTGCATCTCAACGTCTGGTCTACGCGGTCCGTACTGCTGTATACAGAGTTACGCGCAGGCGAGGCCGGGACAATCATATCTCACCGGGTACTTGCGGATAGGAACCACCAAGCACAGCGTCTCGCCCTCCATGAAGGAGGTGTCCGTTCCGGAGGGGGCGGTCACCTCCGGGGCAACACAGAGGTCCTCGAGCGAATGCGCCACCTATTTGGAGAAGCGAAGGAGTGGATGCATTTTAGGCGAAGGGGAGGCGCAGTATCCCAGCCGCAAGGAGGAGGGGGGGGAGGGGCGTACTCTTATGTTTTGCATGCCTTAGCGGTTAGACCATTGACCACGCGTCCTCGAGAGGACGGAGCGGGGGGAGAGAATACGGGTTTGGGGAGTGAATAATCCTCCTGGGATTCTCAGAAGTCGTTCTGTTTGTGTGGACATGCTGCATGCAACTGCGCTAGAGGTCTGATGAAGCGCGAAGGGTGAAACAACATTTAACGCAGCACGGTATACGACCGATGGCCGATTGGGCAAAGTGGGCAGAGCAAATAAAAAGGTGGGTCATGCGCCGTCAAGTGCTAAAGCTACTGGTGCTAGTAGTGCTTTCGTGTGGATGATATTTTCGTTCTGGAGGTGACCATTCTTGCCGAGATCGATGGATGTCTACTGCTGTAGCTGCTGCAATGGTAAGTTTCACGATGTCTATTGACACATGTATGCTTGGAGGCAAGACCACGTGGCGACCCAACCACAGTGCATGACTCCCCTCACCTGAAAGCCACGGAAGTACGTGGGAAACGAGTACATGCCGTCCGTATGCACATCGAACGGGGCGATGGACACGGTCATCTCCAAGGCGCCGTCCGAGCTGGTCGCCCCGTCCTCGTGCAGGAAGCTGGGCACCCTACAGACGGCGTCCGCGGCGGAGGTCGTCGTTTCCCTCTTCAAGTAGAACTCGGGGTGCTGGAAGCCCATCTGGTCGTCCATCTGGTGTCCTCCGTCGCCGCAGCACTGCCCGACGCGGTCCTTGTCAAACGGCACCCCACAGTCGGGAAGGGTGTCGTCAAGCTCGGGAAGGATGTGGTCAACCTCCGGAACGGTGTCGTCGACGTCAGGAAGGGCGTCGTCCAGCTCACGGCGGGCGGCGGTCCTGCGGCGGAGGTAGTCCGGCACGCGCCTCGCGAGCTCGATTCCCTGCGGCAAGGGAGGCAATCGTGGCGGGTGAGGGTGGGGGGGGAGGTAAGTGACGGGTCTCATCGACTCAATCCGTCATCATGGTGCCGGTTGCCGGCGGTGGTGGTGCTGCAGCATCGCGTTCTTCAATATCGAAAAGGACTTCCGGCTCTATGGTTGTTGATGGTGCAGTAATGGTAAAGCGGATACAGAGAGATGATTCCCGGCAAGCCAGTCTGCATTTTTAATCGAAGAGCAAACATCGTATCTTTGAAAACAATGTCAAAGTCCTGTGCACCTCAAGCGTGAGAAGACGTTGGGTGTTGCTGCGTGCGTCATGTGTGTGCGGGGTGTGCTCTGCCGCTGTTGAAGACACCCCCTCGTTTTTTCAATGGAGGAAATCTTCTTGCACGCGGGCCATCCGGTACACCTCGTTTCTTCTCAAGTGCCCCCTCTCTTGTTCCGCACGAAGCATCATCTTTGGAAACCAACACATGGCACAGACATACATGGTTCCATCCAACACATCGTACAGGTGCGGCACCGGTACAAAGCAAATCCTAGGAGGAGACGCCGCGCAGAACTCAAACCACCGAACACCAAGCTACAGTAGAAAGTAAACACACTCACAGTCATAGCCATCGCCGCGTCCCGGACAAGAATCCCGACCATCCCGGCGTCTTATGCCGGAGCGGTGATCCCCCGAGGCGGAAGTGTCGGTAGCGGGTACCCCGGACAGCTCAGGATTGCCCAGCCCCAGGCCACAAGCTGGGCCACCCCATTCCACATGTTCCGCTGCTGCAATGGCGAGCAAGGTACAGCAGTCGGGGAGAGGACGCGAAAAGGCAGCGTTACACGTGAGAGGCATGCTTGTTCGCGTGCTCTAGTGGCGAAATCATAATCTCGAGGACGATGCAGCAGGATAACATGTACCGGTAATATTTAGGAGCGGGCGGGACAGACAAGCCAAGCAGAGGGAGAGAAAGGCGAAAAACGGAGACCAACAACAGAGGAAAACAACTGTGTTTTCCAATGACTGCTTTGTTGCCTTCACACAACAAAAAACTATCCGATCTTCGCTCAGATCCTTCTGATATCCGTGCTGGTCTAACCCACGCGGACGCCTTCCGTGGTCACAAGTAAACTACCCAAGCGAGGAACGTACACACACGCATAATGAATGAAATTCAAGGAGAAAAATGGACCCAGAAAAGTCACGATATTGCAGATACCAAAGAAGGCGGTGGGCATTGTGCGTGCAAGGTGTTAAGTTTGGCTATGCTGTTATGGCTTCGGCACCATCGCCTCCATGATCAACACCAATCCCCCCCCCCCCCCCTCTCTCTTCTCTTGAAACATGAAAGGCCAACACGCCACAGCAGTACACAGTCGGGCACACAAGTCTAGAGGTTAGCTCCGACCGGCGTGGATAACTTTTCCTCAGTGTGGAGCGCGCTTTTCCATGAGGATGCATGTGCAGGCTGTTTGTCGGCCGTACTCCGCGTACTTATCGGGTATTGTTTGTGTAGTGTATTAACTTCAGACGGTGAGGCAACGCCCGTACCCAGGGCGCTGTCGTGCTCAGAGAGGAGGAGTGGCAGCAGGGCTGCTGCACACAACAAAAGGGGGCCCCGGTGCATCATCACCGTACCCCTACCTAAAAGGTTCTACACCATCTGCGTCACACTTGTACGTACGGCTAACATATCCAAACCATGTCCGTAGACCCACGAACACCCTCCCTGGTTCTTCACGCAAGTGACTAACCATCAGTGGGGCAAAAACACCCCGGATACATCAATAAAATGCCAATACGGTGGTCGAGGGGAAACCCGGCGCCCGGGCAAAACCCCTCGAAAATAAATCCCATCCAACACAAACCATTGCTATCACGGCGGATCACAACGGCCGCACTTATCAGGAAGGCCAAGGCGAAGACAAGAATGCGAGGCAAGCCTCCTACTCCTGCCATTGGGACACAGCCCGCGACAGTAATGCATCTTTCCCCGCATGGTATACATGACCTTCCCCAAGCGCTAGAAAATCCTACAGAAGCTCCGGCAAATTCATCAGCTTTTTCCGGTGGTACTGCAGGTTGCTCTTGCTAAGAGCCTTGGTGAGCATGTCTGCATGTTGCTCCGACGTCGACACAAACTTGATCGAGATGTCACCCGACCTAAACAATCCACGAATGAAGTGGTACCGCACGTCGATGTGCTTGCTACGCGCTGAGCTAAGGGGGTTCTGCACCAAAGCCATGGCCCCCTGATTGTCCTCAAGGACCTGAATGCTACCGCCGCTGGTCTCTGGGGCAATAAACGAAAGCACTGCACGCACAAACAAAGCTTCTTTCACACCCTCTCCGGCAGCAATGTACTCTGCCTCCGTAGACGACAAAGATACGATAGCTTGCGTCTTGCTACCGTGGCTGATGACGGTTCCTCCAACCGTTGTTGCCAGCCCTGACACCGAACGTCTATCCTCAGCGTCGGCGTAGCTAGCGTCCACGTACACCGCCAGCCCCAGCCCCGATCCCCGTTTGTAGGTGATCCCGAGGTCCCTCGTCTCTTTGAGGTAGGCGAGGATCTTCCGTATCGCCTTCCAGTGCCTCTCGGCAGGGGCGTGGGCGTGGCGCGCTACCGCACGCACAGCGAACGAGATGTCCGGGCGCGAGAACGTCGACACCCACATCATGCTGCCGATGGCCTCCCTCACCGGCCACTCCCCTCCACTTTCGTCATCTCGCTTCGGTCCTACGTCAGCACCAGGGGAAGCAGGGATGGGGGAGGTCGATTGCACATCAAAGCGATTCACGATGCTGTCAATGTACGCGGTTTGGGAGATTCTAAGGGTCCCAGCCTCTAGGTCTCTCTCAACGGCACACCCGTCGAACCACACACACTCTCCAAGGTCTTTAGTGGGGAATGCCTTGTTGAGGGAAGCGAGCAACTCCTTGCAATCATCATCAGACCCAGCCACCAGAATGTCATCCACATAAATCACGATAATCATCACCACGACACCGTCTTTCATCTTGCGGAAGACGCACGGGTCCGCCTTGCACTGCTCGAACCCGTTTTCTACAAGCGTGTCGGCAGCGTGGTACCCCCACTGCCTGCCGCTCTGCTTCAAGCCGTAAATAGCACGCTCAGCCTTCACAACTTTGTGGGATTTTTCCCCGCACCCCGCGGGGAGCCTCAAGAACACATCCTCGTCTAACTTAGCGTGTGTAAACGCCTGCTTGACATCCCAGTGGTTGAGTTTCAATGATTTCTCATTGGCTACCGCAAGCATCAGTTTAATGGATGCGGATGATGGGCAAGGGGAGGATGAGTAGAAGTAGTCCACATTCGGAATTTGCGAAAAACCCCTAGCGACCAGACGCGCTTTGAACTTCTCGATTTTCCCCTCCTTGTTCGTCTTCCAAGTAAAACGCCACTTAGAACTCACAGGTCTACGCCCCTCTGGCGTGCCGTCTACGAATGAAAACGTTCCCGTGTCCAAGTGTCCATCGAACTCTTCCCTCATGGCCTGTTCCCACCCCTCTCTGTACACAGACTTGGCAACGCCGGCTACGGTCATGGGGGGGGATTCAACGTCACTCGGACGCTTGCCTATGGGGGATTCTGTACTCAGCTCGGTCGACGCCAGGGCCCTCACGAAGGCGTCTGGAGAGTTGAGCACGAGGTCCTCCGCTCCCAGCAGGAAGTCCTCTGCCTCTTGGCGCGCGATGTTGGCCTCCTCCGCGCGCTCGCACAGCAGCGCTTGCACCGCCCTCGCCTCTAGCCCTTCCACCACGTCGACCACACACGCGAGCATCCAGTGGGTGTACTCCTCCGTGCTGGTGATGGGCAGGGTGGGCAGCCCGGCCGCCGATGCATGGCGGGCGAGCAGACCTTCGGCACTCGTTGACGACTCGTACCTCGTGTTCCGGCGAGGGTTCTCCCTGAGTCGGCGGCTGGTGAGTTCGGCCGGCTCGCCAAAGCGGGCGAGCCTCCGTTCCTCGGGCCCGCGGAGCGCCGGAATATCCGTGTCGCTGCCGCTGTCGCTGCCGCCACCGCTGCTGCTGCTGCTGCTGCTGCTGCTGCTGCTGCCGCTGCTGCTGCTGCTGCCGCCGCCACCGCGGCTGCTGCTGCTGCTGCTGCTGCTGCTGCGGCGGTCGTCCTCGCCGCCGCCCACATCGGCCATCCCGGTCGACGTGGTAGATGGGGCGACGCTCGCGCCCTCCCTGCTCGAGGGGGCGCCATCGCCAGCGTCGCCCACGCCCGACTCCTGGGGCGCGGCCGGCGGCGCCGCCGGCGCATCGCGCGCGGGCGGCTCCGCGGGCCCCGGGTTTGCCGTCGTGTCAAGGTGGAAACCTCCATCCTCAGGTTCTCCCTCCGCCCTCCCTCCACCGTGGCATGACGCACCCCCTCCGCCCTCGTGCTCCCCAGTCGTGAGCTCCTCGTCCTCCTCTGCAATGGGAGGCAGCGGCTGGGGGTGCGCGGTCGGGGCGGCGGGCACAGATTGCCAGGTGAAGTTGCGAGTGGTGATCGCTTGGCGTTTTTCGTTCAGGATGCGCACGCAATCACGGTTTGTGTTGATTCCAGGGCCGAGGTAAAAACACTTTTTTGCTTTCGGCTCTGACTTGTGCGTGCGCTTGACCTTGTATACGGCGGGTTTGAGGAACGGGTACGTCGCCTCTGGGGGAGGTGGGTGCCCGTGCCACATTTCGTACGGCGATTTCTTGTCCGGGTTGGATGTGGTGGAGGTGCAGTTCAGGGCGTTGCATGCCCAAGCTGTGGCTTTGGCCCAAAGGGAGGGGTAGCTTGGTGCTTCGGGGTAAAGAATCGTCGCTTGTATGCGGGCGGCTAGTGCTGCATCCTTTATCAGTCCCAGTGCTCTCTCAGCTACACCGTTGTATTCTGGGCTGTATGCGGGGGTGAACTCCTGCTTGATGCAATACTTGCGGCACAGCTTTCCGAACTCTCCCTCGAAAAACTCTCCTCCGTTGTCAGACCGCACGACCATGACCTCGGATGGGGCTCCGTCTGCCCTGTTTTCCGCTAGGTATCTCTCGAATGCCTCTGCAGCGTCTGACTTGTTTTTCAAGAAGTAGACGCGGTTCCACCTCGTGCAGTCATCCCTTACAATGAGAGTGTACCACTTCCCCCCCAAGCTCTGCACCCTTGCCTTCCCACTCAAATCCACGAACACTCTCTGCAGTTTCTTTAACTGCTCGGGTTGACGTCCTGTTGGGGATGGGCTTGGATAGCCCCTTTGCCGTCGAGCACCCCATGCACTCCCGGAGCTGGCCCACCAGAGTCACCCCTTGCTGCTTCGCCGTGTTCTTCAGCAGCACCTCGTGGGAGTGGCCGTGCGCGCAGTGGAAGTCGTTGATGTCAACGGGGGTGCGGTTCGCTTTCGCGTTACCAGGAGCAATCATGGCACAGGCTAGTTCCCTACCCGACTCTATGCGGTGACCAGTCTGAACGAACAGGTCCCCCCATAGAGGGAAGTACACCGACTCCCCCCCACCAACGAACACCTCCAACTCACGCTCGTCTGCGGCTAAGCGGCCCTTGGTTTGCCTCAAAAGGGCTGTGAGGGACACGAGGTTGTAATTCAGCTCCGGCACATGAGCGACCCGTTTCAACAGCAGGTCTGTGGTCCCAACGCGAGAACCGATGGACACCCTCACGTCGCCGTAGCCTACTATGGCGAAGGCTTGCTTCCCTGCGGCGACACTCAAACGTCGATCGCACTCATGGTAGTTTTCGAACGCGTTAGCGCTCGGGAACATGTGGTTGGTTGCGCCGGTATCGGCCACAAACCTTTCCTGCCTGGCCTGCTCTACACCCCCTCGATCAACGACTCTGTTCCACTCGCCTGTGAAGTCACGGACCACTAGCGCCTCCTCTGCCACGTCCAGTGCGGTGGCGTCCAAGACCGGCAGCTCCACCGCGAGCACCGCCTGCTCGGACGAGCACTTGCTCTTGTCGTGTCCGTAGCCCAGGCATTTCTCGCATCGCAGGGGCTCCGGCTTGGTACAGGCGGCCGCCTGGTGACCCTTCTCTCCGCACCGGAAGCAGCGGCCGTGCCATGCTACCTGCACCGCCGCCGCCTCCGCCGCTGTTGCCACCACCACCGCCCTTGCGACCACCCCCTTTCCCCTTCTGGCTGCCACCGCCGCCGCCGCCCTTGCTGTGGCCGCCGCTGCTGCGGCCGGGCGCTCCGCCCCTGTTGCCACCGTCGCTCGCGAGGAAAGCATGCTCCGCCTTCCGCTGGCCCTTCGTGGCCCTCCTCCCCTCCGGGAGGCTCGCGTGCACGGTACTGACTACCCTGATTATCTCGCCCCGGTCCAGGTTTGTAGCCGTCTCCAACAAGAATTTGGCTTGTTGGTACTCGGGTGGAAGGGCATCGACAAAGTGTGCGAGAACAAAGGGTGTGTCAGCGTTGACCCCTTTTTCCCGCAGTCGTGAGTACAGCAGCTCGAGCGTGTATAGATGCTCGACAGGGTTGCTGTTGCTGTGTGCGGGGATCGTGAATCGAAACATCTTCTTCATGAGGGCTTGTTTCGAGCCCTGCGACTCCGGGTTGTGTACTTTGTCGAGCTCCGCAAGGATCTCCTTTGCGGTCTCGCATTTATTCACGATTGCCTTGTCGGCTTCTCGGACGATGGCTGTAGTCACAAAGTGGAACGCCTGGAGGCCCCTCTGAACCTCATCACTTGTGTAGCCCAAGCTATACAGCTCCGAGCTAGGCCTGTTTGGGTCACCGACGGGTGCGTGCTTCTCGGCGTTGCCGATAAGCTGCCCGTCCAAGCCTACGGTTTTTGCGGCTTGAATAAGGGCCTTCCTCCACGAGTCGTACCCGTGGCCGCGACTCTCCCCTTCGAGACGCGGTGCATTGACCGTAACACGTTTTTGGCTACTACTGCTGTACCCATCAAAAAATGCTCTGGCCCCTCGAATTGCGGTTTGCTCACCTTGGGGGTTTAACCCCCTCGCTTCCCCGCGGTCCGGTCCTACGCCCGGGCTCATTCCGGCTGGCCCCACAGGATTCGCTCCCGATCTACCTGCCCAGCCAGTCGTCACTCTCGCTGGAACCCCAGGACTCGCTCCCGGTATGTTGTCCCAGCTGCTTTCCCGCGGGTGATTTCGCCCATCACGGGCCGTTTCCTGGGAAAACGCCCCGCCGCCCCCAGGCGGCAGAGCCTCTCTCTGGCTTGGGACGGCAGCACCGCCGCCCCTACTGGCATCGCCCGCCACGGCGTCACCAGGCTCCTTCCTCTTCAACTCCATCACTACGCTCATCAGCTGCGATAACTGGCCCTCCAGCCTCGCAATCGCCGGATCCTCGGCGTGTTGCTGTTGCGTGGCTGATGTCTCTTCCCCCAGCCCTGCGACGGAACCGCTGTCCGACGCAGACATGACCCGATGCGGCTATCCCTCGAGGGACAATCAATCTAAACTCTAGAGTGTTTGTCGGCCGTACTCCGCGTACTTATCGGGTATTGTTTGTGTAGTGTATTAACTTCAGACGGTGAGGCAACGCCCGTACCCAGGGCGCTGTCGTGCTCAGAGAGGAGGAGTGGCAGCAGGGCTGCTGCACACAACAAAAGGGGGCCCCGGTGCATCATCACCGTACCCCTACCTAAAAGGTTCTACACCATCTGCGTCACACTTGTACGTACGGCTAACATATCCAAACCATGTCCGTAGACCCACGAACACAGGCTCGGCCAAAATAATCTGCTTCGCATTCCCTCTCCCTGGTTCGCCAAAGAAAACGGGGCCAGGGTAAACGAGGTGTCCATGGACTCCCCCTATCTCACAGTATGATGCCAGATGGGTGTTGTCTCCCTTGTAAATGGATTGCAGCAACGCTCGCCATCCTAACGCAACTGAGACGTGCCGGCATTCACGGCCAAGCAATTGAAAGACAGATCGGAGGCATATCCGGCTTCAACCAAATCGCAAGGTCGTAGCTGTAGATCATCGCCGCCCGCGATCAGGCTTCAACTGAACGCTAGCCCCTTGCGTTGCCGGAGACAATCTTTACGGCCGCCCGGCCAGAGTGGTCGCACAACAAGTACCCAACAGCAGCGGCGATAAATAGATAGCACTCGCTTCCCTCCCTCTCTCGAGGGCAACCCCCGGAAAAAAGGCGCCAAAAGGGAACCCAGGCGTTCATAACTCTCCGAGATCTATCTGACCAGCTCTCAACAGCTGATCATTGCCCTCCTCCGCTCGACTGCACACCCCTCTGGTCATCAGAGAGCGAAGGGGCACAGCGGTAGTGTCCACAGCAACGCGCGTCGTCAGGACGAGGTACAGGTTGCTGTGGGCGCATGTAGAGCGCGGTTCGTCCCATCCGCCGGTGAAAGACGACTCCTGTCGTCGTTTCGGCCTAAAACGATAGTGAAGGCGTGTCGAGGACTGTAGCCGCTAGTTGATTTCTGTGGTTGGCGATCTGGTGAAGCGATAAACCCATGCGAGTGTGCATGCAAACCGACCCCCTTTTGTTGCCACCTCCCGCTTTTTTTTTCTTTCGTCTCTTGCAGGTGAAGGTGGGATCCCTGGAGCTGGCGGCGAACAAGGACATCAAGCAGATCATCGAGTGCACGGAGGAATTCAACAAGTACCGCAGCCTCTGCAAGCACCTACAGCAGCACGGCCGCAACGGCAACCTGCTGGTGTTCGTGGAGGCTAAAAAGGGCTGCGACGCGCTCACCGGTCCGTCCGGCAGGACAGCTACCAGGCCCGCTGCATCCAAGGCGACAAGACACGGGAGGGGCGCGACTACGTCCTCAAGGACTTCAAGAGCGGGAACTTCCAGGTGCTGGTGGCGACGGACGTGGCCGCGCGCGGGCTCGACATGAAGGAAATCCAGATGGTGATCAACTTCGACTTCCCCAACAACATGGAGGACTTCATGCACCGCATCAAGCGGTGCGGCCGAGCGGGCGCCAAGGGCGTGGCCGTGAACTTCTTCGGCTCCAAGAACTCCCGCAACAACGGCTGCGAGCTCATCAAGATCCTAACCGAGTCGGGGAACAACGTCCCGCCGGTGTTGTAACAGATGCAGATGATGGGCGGCGGCTGCGGCGGGGGTCACAGCCGATATCGACGCTAGGCCTAAAGGAGGAGAATGGGAAGAGAGGCGTTTTGATTTTCCTGAATTGGTCGACCGGCTGTTGCTCGCGGGGTATTGGGAGGGGAGTGCGTGGTGCGATCGAAGCATGTACTTCTGAATTACTTCAAAGCATGACGTATATTCATCGGAAGGTTTTGTTCTCCCTCTCTCGGTCGCTGCGGCGGCGGGTGTCGGTGTCACAACAACAAAGTCTCTCGAGAGACTTCAGGGGTAAGACGGTAGATGGTGGTTGTGGAAGAGTGCCTGATGTAGAAGACGGGCATGCCGCAGGTTGTTTTCATAGCGACTGACTGACTGACTGCATGCTGATGGGGGAGGTACTTGGGGGGTTGCAGGGTTTGGGTGCTGGCGACGATGAGTCTACTTATGATTGGATAGTTTGCGTTTTTTTTAAGGTTGGAGGTAGGTACGTCGGCCTCTCTCGTTGAATTGATCTGGGATCTTTTTTCTACGATGTTATGTGTTTTTTGTTTGTGTCTTGTTTTTTGTTTCCGTTGCCATTTCGAAATGGCAGTCTTGTTTGCACCACCCTCCATCTTTTGCCCCCGGGTGAACAAAATAACGAGAGAAAAGGGCTGTGTTGCTTAGACAGCTTGTGGGTTCGGTTTTGGCATACTCTGCGCACGGCGGCGGTAAGGTAGCAGAGCGTGCGGGTAGTACGCACGAAACCCCTATGGCCGTCTCCGACGGTCCTTGTTCGGTTTGTTGGTCTTGGCGCCCTCTGTGTCCTCGTGGGCGGAGGAGGGCTTGTTTGCGGACGGTTACACACCAGGGAAGCGGGTGTATTGGGGGGTGCCGTCGTGCTTGTTTCGTGACGAGAGACAAGAGGTGAAGGAAGGCGTTGTTGTGGGGCTGGAGGGGGGGGCAGGGAAGGCCGGTCAGATAAAGACGGTCGACAAAGAAGGAGATGGGTCTCACTTGACCGGTGTTGTTCCGTCGTGCCGCTAGAGAGGCAGGCACTATTTCGGGCGAGCGACGACTCCAACGCTGCACCCTGGGCGAGAGATGCGGTATTGGTGTTGTTGGAACATGAACGAGGAGCTTCAAATATGCTGTCGAAACACTGATGAACGAAGCACACACCGACCGAAAGAGCCCTCGGAAACTACCGCGCAATTGTGTGACATTCAAGTAGAGGTGAACCAACCGAATCTACATGGCCCACAGTGACAAACCCTACGGAAATACAACAAAGTGCAAGTGCAATTCGGAAGAGGTTCTTGCAAAATTCAGATGGATGCGACATAGATTGCGTGATTTTTGTGAATGAGAGTTGGGTCGAGTAAACGATGACTGTACTAGGAATAAGATGACAGCCTCAAAACGTCACAATCGAAGAGGGATCTGCGCACAAGCACTACCTGTCTATGTAAAAAAGTACGTTGGGGGTGCCTAAACATGGTGGAATCAGTTCCGGAATCAGGACGTTGGTTGTTCTCGAAATGGTGCGAATTTGCAGACAAAAATACTATCACCAGCGGCCATGAGCACGCGCCCCCGCCTAACACACGCTAAGGAATGCATGAAATCTCAACTAATCCAGCGAATAATGGAGGGCGCGGCGGTGTATGCTCGACCCCCTCTTCGCCACACCGGTAGAAAAATAGGAAGAATATACCTGGAAAATGCCCCGAACGTTAGTTACAGATTCCTGACAAGACAGCCTGAACGTTGCACCATCTTGTTCTCCAGGACTACCGCATGCACTGGACGTCGGCCACCAGTCGTTTCGTAGTGTTCCGTGCAGCTTACTCGCGACATCTAGTCTAAATGCGTACCGTCCACTTTGAAAGGAAAAGTATAACTGAAGACGTGGAGCTCTCGTCGCCCGTCAAATATCTCGAATGGCCCCACCTCCTGTGAGACAGGCGCAGTGGAATGCCCATCTCGACAACTTCACGGCACTTGTCGAGGTCATTGTTGAACGGGTGGCCGTGCAACTCCAACCCGCCTGAGTCTTCACATCCTGCGCCCGACGAGCACCACCATCGTGTTTCGGCACGTCTACACGGACACATGATGGGCACAGCGCGAGTGGACAACGGACCAGCAACGACCGAAGAAGAGAGACACAAAGAGACAGAACGGTAGAGAGAGAAAAATAGACAGACACAGAAGCAGAGGCAGAGCAAGGGTCAAAACAGCGCGACTACAATGACTGTGGGGCCTTGCGTTACTACAGAAAGGACGCAGGCCGTGGACGTGGAACTATGCACATTCGCGTGAACAGTGTCATCGACGTTTCATGACAACGGTTATCGAAGCCTATATTGTATATTCTGTATGGCGATGGCATACCACTACTGTGCTCCTCGGTATTGCTATTGAACAACATTCGCGTTCCACGTGGTTGTGATGCTGACACTCGCTCCGACCGGCACGAACGGGAGGGCTTGGTCACGTATGATCAGACAGAACATTTCCACCGAACACATTGGTGCCTCCGTGTACCTGAGAAGGAGTTCAGGAGCATTGTGAACCATTCTTTAGAAGAGCTCGGCGGTGAAAACAATGATGCTTTTGATCACCGTGCTTTGTTCAAGCAACAGAGATATCGAGCATCGTTGTTGATACCGCACGTACATCGAGCACTCGTCTCCAAGCGAAAGACGATAGTTCGGGAGAGAGAACGCAGAGTAACACCGGACGTACCATCCGTCGCTGTAGAGATTGTTTATGTATGCACTGGCGGAGAATGCTAATCGGGCGTTACGCGTTGAACACATCAACGTCTCTCTCTGACTTCGCTCATATGCTTGCCACATGTTGCACGCATGCTGCCCTACTGAACACACACAACTCTACACTATAGTGTTTTCAACTCGTAAGCTTACACGCCCGAACGATTTTGACACGGACAAAGGCGGGCGGTCAGCTCAAGCGGGGACGGACAAGGGTAAACCCGAAGAGGGTTCGCGACGATGCTGAGAGGCCTACCGCTGAGGGGGAGGTGACGCTTCCGCGCAACGCACTTGCGGGGGGAATGGGAACATTGGAGCATGTGGGATGAGGAGGCCGTGGATAGAGAGAGACGAATCAGTCCAGATCGACAGCGAGACATCCTGATGCCCCATGATTGGGCTCAGGATCGAGCCGTGGCATAGAGAACAAGACAATATGCTGGCCATTGACAAGCGGTGTGGGAAACGATTTACTCCCAACAAGTGACAGCAGGAAGTTGGGCCGTGGTAGAGTGACAGACAGGATCATCTGGAATCAGGCGAGGTGGCGAGGGGGACGAAAAGGAGCCACAATCGGCACAATACATGCATGTTGAGCTGCAGTGGGAATCGGCGTTAGGCTCGGGTTGAGTGGCCTTGAATCAATCTGCAGAGAATTGATACGGCACACGATTTGCTATTGGAGTTGGTACTTGTGTAAAGCGGTGAAGAGACTAATAACAAGTTGAGGTCCCTGATTGATTTTGATGTATATTCAGCAAATAGATTATGCCGTGTTTGGGTAGATATTTCTTGAGGCATCACAACGTTTTCCCTACAGTTATACATGAGCACGTTGTTTGTCAAGAGGGGGGCTCGTTTGTTCGAGGACATAATCGAAAACGTCTGGTTTAGGCGAATCAAACTGTTGCGATATTTCTCCCTCTAGTTCCGATGTCATGTACACTTGGCCCGTCGTCCCTAAAGTTTGTGGCCGTGCAGAAAATCAAAGGCATGTGTCATCCTCCGTTGTGTTGTCTTGACGCCAGGGAAGCAAATGGCGCACCCAAGGGCATCTTGCATTGGGTAGCATGCGAGTGTCGACATCGAGTGTATGTGCGATATTATTTGTTTGTAGAGCAAGTTAACGGCATGGGCGGATAGTGGATGTCAAAGTTGATGTTTTCATTGCCCACGTCAAAGCGAGACGTGGGTGTAACACCGAATGTTCTTCCAATCCTGCGCACCGTGTAATACCGTGGCTGTTTTTACCGACGAACGATATTATATGTACTACCACGTAGCGTAAAGGTGCGTGGTGGCTGCTTCTCGCACCAAGTACCCCGTGATGGCCAATACCGTATTAAATTACCGGGCACTATCGTGGGGGCTCGATGCACACTAAGTTGTTGTTGTCTCCACCTCAAAATCGTTCCGGTCTCTGGTTCGTGCATTGCAATATCTGTACCGGTCCATCTGACGCGGGCGCCTTCCGTAGCCACACGCATTTACAATTGTACCCCCCCCCAGAAAACGAAAATCTTCTAGAAACCAAACGCAAAATATCCGAAATCCTCAGTCAGACGCGATACCAGACCCAAAAGACAAACAAACCGGGAGGTATACTGTGAAATATGAAAATCAACTTGTTTCCCCCCACCTACAGTAGGTACCCACTGTTTTTCGAGATTTGTTGTAAGGGAGGGGATACGAAGCGACCACTTCCCGCTCAAAGCCATACAAAACACTATACGAAACACGACTGTATCAATTCCAATATACAAAGGGACACCGTATAGTATAGGGGGTAAATATTTCATCTATTCAAGGCGAACCAAATTGGTAGGGGCACGCAGTAGAAATAGACTCAGAGTCCAGCGAAGAGGGGTAGAACAGTGAGGAAGACGAAGAGGGGGATGGGGGAGAAGACGAGGAGGGAGGGGGCGAACAGCAAGAGGACGAGTAGGAGCATGGGGGGGAGGAGGAAGAAGAGGTGGGCGAAGGAAACGAAAGCTCGAGGGGGCGTAAACGCACCCCGCAACGGCTTTTTGGCCGGGGTTTGCGTCGTTTTAAGCACTGAAACGTTTGTCGGAACCCAGTATTTTAGGCGGACGAGGCAGGAGGTGGATCGGGACACTAAGCATAATCGGGAGCTTCTACGTGAGTTCTGCCGTGTACGTCGAGCATTGGAGTTTCTTTGTTCTCGCGCGCAGAGGCGTGCTGCTGCTCCGGGCCATTTGCTTCACTGAAGACTGATTCGAG